CCTACAAAGCCGGGACGGAGCACGCCGGGTTCTCACCGGACCAGGCTCTCACATCACCAAGCGCGAAGCGCCTCGGCGAGTCGGATGGAGGGTGCGCGGCATCCTGCTAAGGGTGTTCGGCATCTTGTGCTTACTTTTTCGGATGACAGGTGCGAATGACTTGATTTATATCCCTGGTGCTTTCACTTCCAGATACAGTCAAAAGCACGTGTAACTGCCTCGGGGGGGGGGGGGAGTCGCACCTTGAGCTCCCTCGCGGTGTTCTCATGCTGCGCCCGATCGAAGCGCTTGAGGAACTCCAGCAACTCCCGCATGGAAGTCGTCGATGCCCGTCTTTTTGGGGTCCTCGGAGAAGGACTTGATCAGGTCCGTCGCCGCGGCGTCCACGGCCGTGAATCTGCGGAATCATCATCCATCATCAGTGGTGGTGTTCCAACCAATGGGAGGCAATGAAGGAAGGAGAAAGGGGGGGTCGGTATCAACCTAGCGCGCAGATCACAACCTGGTAGAGCTATCTGATACAACCTGCTAGAGTTATCCGATACTACGTACCTGCTAGAGCCGTCTGATACTACCTATAGTTATCTGATATCAAAAGCCACAAAAGGCCGATAGAAGGAATGAGAAGAGACGAAGCCGGACGTGTTGTGCAAACGAAAGGGAGGCAAGAGGGAAGAGAGGAGTTGGTATCAACCAAGCGCGCAGATTTTGACTCCTACTGCTTGGTAGAGATATCGGACGCAAAAAGCCACGAACGTCTGTGGAAGGAATGACAAGAGGGGATGACGGATGAGCCGAGACGGCCAAAAGCACGACACACGCGGGATATCAACGACTTGGCTCGATTGTTTGTTTATCTACAGCTGACGTGTTGAAGTCCAACTTGGCAGACGGTGACACGGTTGATGCAATGATGAAAGAGATGAGAGGCGGATACTCGTCAGCCGGTTAGCATGGCCAATGCTGGCTAACTAATAGCTGGAGACAGAGAGAGGTGGGGGGGGGCGGGGGGGGGGGAGGGCTTCATAACTTTCCCAACCGCGACCAGTTGTTGTTCCTCAGGGTCTTAGCGTTACCTAAAGACTC